CCCCCCTTTTCCTTCCCTCTCCTCTTCTCCCAGCGCTGTCCCCCAAGCGGCTCTGCTAGGTGGGCGGCCGTCGGGAGTGAAGTCCCAAGGATGTGTCCCCAGTCCGSGCGGCGAGCTCCTGGACTCGCCGATTGCGCCGGTGTCGGCACCGAGGGATATTGCACGGCCTAATCACAGCAATTAGCCCTTCCTCTAATAACAGGCTCTGCCCTGATGCCCTGGGAATTAAGAAARAATCCCCGAGTGGAGATTTTTCTCACATTTTTTTTTTAATGTACTTAAAATTGTCTCCCAAACAGATTTTGGAGTAATGCTGTGTCTCATGAAGTTGGGTTGTTTTTTGTTGGGGGAAGATGCTTTTAAAGAAAAAATAACTCATCCTCTCTGACGCAATGGGAAGGAGAAGCTTTTTCTTTGCAATGCCTTCACAGAAGTGCAGGCCRTGGAATTACATCCTAAATGTGGCGTTGCAGCTGGGATATTGCATGGAATCGCATCTTAAATGCGGCGTTGCAATCGGGCCCAGTCATCGCCTCTAGCTCAACTTGAGAGATGTTGTAAAAATAGACTATGCTTAAATACAACCACTGGATCTTCCAGGACTTGGTAATTCAGAAAGCTGAAGTCTCACCTTACTGAATACTTTGGGGAAAGAAGCACTATAAAAATACCGAATGCTTAGCCTAGGAGCTGGCAGTGCAAGGGTCTGGGGCTGTGTGGATGCTTCCTGTTACAGCACACAAGATTTCTTGTGGGCACCATGCAGCTTGGCTGGGTCCAGATAAGTGCATTTATTTCCTTTTCCCCCCATCTCTGGGAAAGGGAGTGATTTTTTTGTGGGGAGGAACATGTAATTTCATAGCAGGATGTGGAAGTGGTGGGGGGCTTCTGTCTACATCCATGAGTGAGGTGAGCTCTTGTCAGATGTATTACTTGCCTCGTGTGATTTAGGCCTAAGATGTAATGTTTTGGTTTGGGGCCTACAACTTATAATATCTTAAATTTTGGGGGTGAGGAGCGGTGAATTAAATGCACTGCTCTATTCTTGATACCACAGCATTTTCCTGCCATCAGTTGAGAACAGCAAAGAAGAAACCAATGCATTAGTGRCTCCGCTTGCATCCTCTTAAGTGCAGTTTTGGAGCTGGATGATGGCCGGGCTTTAGCTCCCATAAGCTGAAGTCATTGCTGTTGGCTTCTGCACATTAAACATTCCCTCCCTGTTTGCTTTTTTCTCCCCCCTCTTAAGACAGAGCAAACGCAATGAAACTCAATAAGTGCCTGGGGTTAGTTGGAGCCAGCAGGTCTCGCTCCAGATCCAAAACTTAAATCGGCCTTGTGGCCGCTGCCTGGTGGGACTGGGCATGGGCTCTGACGTTTCCTAATTGCCGTGGTTTATGTGGCCCAAATAGCTGGCGTCCTTTTAAACTGCCCCATGCCAAGGAAACGGGTGCTAATTTGCCACCTCGGAGCTGCATGTGGCTGCTCCTGAGGAGCAGAAATGTTCTTGCCCAATTTTGGTCCATTTTTTTCATCCGTAGTAATCTATAACGGGGTTATTTTTTTCCCTTATTTCTGGCATTATGTGTATTTTGATATTTTTTTTTCCCAAATTGGTTTGCTGGTTTGGTTGGATGTTAAAAATGGAGATGGGTTGGGAATAGCCTGAAGCAGCTTAAGAATGGGGTAGAACTCGGGAGCTTTTGTCTGTATCAGACAACAAGAGCTCAAAATATTTTTTCCATACAACTCCATRCAACATGTGCTTACTCAGAGTCTTCTCAGCTCCAGAGGGAATCTTTTTCCAGGGTATTGACCTTGCTGAATAACTGTTTTTGAGGGAAATGGCCTTCATCCTTATGTCCCCCCCAGATTCCCCCACCCTGCTCTTAAAGGCTTGAAGRGAACATGCTTTGATGCTATTGATTGGCTCCTTGGCCCTGCCCTGTACTAATCACTGCTTTAACATCATAATTGTGGTTGCATGGTTACACCGTGATTTTGCTGGGCTTCTTAAACCTCTTTTCTTCCAGCAGCCTGGRTCTCTGCAGCCTTCCCTTTGCTGGGGATCTTGTGGTTAGGTCTTGAACTCGCRAAACTGCTTGCATCTTGCTCAAAAATCTAATCGAGGGGTGCCTGGATGGACCTGTTTGGTGACACCTGGGGAATGGGGACACCTCTCTTGCACCCTCTTGCCCTTCTCTGAGTATTTAGTCTCTGGAGCTGTACTGGAGATGGAGAGCTCTCTTCTGCCCCTTGTATATAGGAATTAAACCAAGTGAGTGGTCTGCATGCTGAAAGTCACTTTTCAATAGACGGTAGATGCATGGGAGGCAGTTTGCAGGAGTTTCCAAYGCCCTGTCCACGTGCGTTTGAGCATGGCTGTTTCCTAGTATGAGCCACTGCACTTTCCTTCCTCTAGGATGGCATCACCCCCTACAAGGAGATCCTCCAGATGTGCTGGGAGAGAGCGAAGAGCTTCGTGAACGTGCGCTGCGAGGGGCTCGAGCCCTGGCAGCTGATTGCGCTGACGGTCGCGTCCACTCTTGCTGCGCTCTGGCTACATGGCTTCCTCTTCCAGGCCGAGAGTGAGTATCCGAAACAGGGGATTTTCGCAGGGCTTCGTGGTGGGGTGGGGAAGAGGAAGCAAGGAGACCAAAACAGGCCTTGTGCTGTCGGCTGGTTAGTGTTAATGACCCCTTTTCCAAACTAGGGTTAGGGCTTGTTTGGTTAACCAGCTTCCCAATTCCTCCCAAGGGTGTGGTGGGCTTGCCGGGAATGTTCCTCCATTTCTGCCCCTGCTTTTTGTCTCCCTTGAGCTCCCGACTGAGTAATTTCCATGCCAAAAAGCCCTCTTCTGGCTCACAACCTGGGGAAAAATGATCCAGGAGCTGGGGTCTCCTGACCAGGTAGCTAGAGCAAAACACAGGGTAGCTCCAGCTCTGTTGTTCCTCCTCCCAGGGTGGAGGCTGCTTCTGGTTTGGTGCTGGAAGTGCATTTCATGCTCAGGATGTTTGAGATAATTGTGTTTTTTTTTCAGCCCCTGTCCCTGTGTGGGGTGATTTCTGTTCTCTGTTGGGCTGAAATACCCAGAGGACCTGCAAAAGCATTTTAGTGACCAAAAAAAAAAAAAAAGAAAACCAAGCCCTGTTATCCTGTTTCCATTGCTGCCTTTAAAGTTACCCCAGGAGTTTTCCRGTGTTCGGCATATCTGACTCCGCCTGTTGCAGAAATTTCCCTCAGAAATTTCCCACAGAAATGCTGAGCTCTGGGGTCTGCAGTGGTGCTACTTCAACAGCTCAMAAAGCTTCTGTTCCAGGTTTAACATCCCGAATGAAGAAAAAGTTCTTCAAGCTCTTGCGGAAAACACCTTTTGTTGGGACGGTTGTAAGTACTTTAACTGCTTTTCTTAATATTATCCGGGGTCCTTGCCTCAACCTGCATAGCTCTGTCTTGGAGAGCTATCCAAGAATGTGTATCTGGAGGGTCTTCTGCTGCCACGTGGTTTGATGAAAAGATAAAAGATGATGAGGGAAACACTGATATTATCCCCAAAAAATGGAGTTGCCATCACTCTGTAGCCCTTAATCAGCAAGTGTGGTCACGAGATTGTCTGATGTCTTCTCATTGGTTTTCAGGAAAATAACCCGATTCATGGGAGAGTGGGACGGGACCGGGGCTGTTATGCTCAAACAATGTCTTATTCTTGAGCAATGAAAGAGCCGGGCCTCTGTTGTGCAACCCAGAAGGATAATTTTTGATCTGATGACTGGCCACAATAAACCCAGAGCTCAGCTCTCCGGGAGCAGCAGTTAGCATTATAGCACAGTTAGCATTATAGAGATATCAGGAGCTCGTGTAATCATTAAAGCGAGGCAGGCCTCAGGGTCTGGGAGGTGATTTCTACATGAAAACTTGGACCTATGAATGTCAGCGTTCTTTAGCACTTATTTCCTGATCGTTAAGTCATTAACACTCTGGTTTGTTTTTCCTGGTCAATGATAGTGTTGCACCTGATGACTGTCCTTCTGCTTAATGTATAGATAGCTTTAAGTGTTGTCTTAGATGGGGGTCAGGTCCAGGCAGCCTATCAGTTCAGGCTGATCAGTTCAGACCTTCAGGAGGCCTTGACTTTGAGGCGTTCCAATGTCCAAAAGTTCCCTGAGCTGATAACGTCCTCCTAGCCGGGTTGTCTTGTGGCTCTGGAGGAAGACTGTAGGAAGGTGATTTGAGGAGARATCCAGGCCTTCTGGCCTTGTAGGACCTGTGCAGGGTATGTGACAGGCGACCAACTCTGCTGATGATAGCGCTTCCCTTTTTTTTGTAGATTCAAAAGAAGATTGATGAAGCCCTGGTTGATATCACCTCCAGCTTGTCCTTTCTCAGGGATGAGAAGGACTATATCAAAGCGCTGCCGGAGCTAGGCATGAGCCAGTCTGAAGTGCTTGAGAAGATGAAAGAGTACAGCTCGAAAGGTATGGCCACGTGCTGGTGCTCCTGACAAGGTGGTCCTGATTCCTGCACTGAATATGATGAGCTTCAGCCTCTCCTGCAGATGGTTTCACTGTAACCATTTCTTTCTTGGTGTCCCCCACCTGCAAATGTGTGCCTGTCTCATTTTTGCAAGTGACCGACTTGCAACTTGCAACTACATGCAAGTTTGTGAATTTCTGAGCAATTACCTGGATGGTTGGCTTTTACCAAAATTGAGCTTTCTAGAAAAGTCCCAAATTATTTAAAAAAAATCTTCCAAACAGTATTTTAGGGAATTTCCAAGGCCTGGGTCACTTAACATCCTACTGGTTTGTCTTTCAAAAACTCCCTTGAAGGATGACAAAGCYATGGCATTCCCCTGGCTCGAGTCCACACAAGCGGTGTCTAAAGCTTACTTTGAAGTGCTGYACTGCTGCAAATCAGTGCCTCAACCCGTATAGCTGTTACTTCTGCTATGGAAAATCATGTTTTTGGGGGGTGGTCTTCCATCTGTGTGGGTTTTTCCCCTCAACTTCCTTCTTTCCTCTTTTATTACCCCTTCTTCTCACTCTTCCCCCTCCAAAGTTGATGCTGTTCTGCCTAATGTACCCGGGGTGATGTGATGCCAGCTGTGTGGACAGCAGCTTTCTTGATTAGGAGCTCTCTGGGAAGGGCTGTGATCACAAGCCACGTGCTYTCCTGACTGCTCTTTCAGGTGACATACGCTGGGAGGAGGGCAAAGTCTCGGGGACCGTGTACAGCGGCGAAGAGAAGCTCACCCGTCTGCTCGTGAGGGTAAGGACGTCAAGTGGTCCAATGTGGCACCTGCAGATACCTTAAGGACCTTCAGGGYGGCCCAAAGCCCTTCAAGAAGGGGTCATAAAATTGCTGTAGGTCACCTTCAGCAGGGCCATCTGATAAATGTGACTTAGCAGCAGTTTGCTGTGACTATACATCCTGTTAYTCCGTTATGGAGATGCTCTGGGGCTTGGGATTGAGGCAACTTTTTCCTGAACAAAGCTGAGTTTCTCTTGACTTGACCAAAAATAAATACTAAAAAAACACAAACAAAGTAAGTTTGCAGTGTGTTTTGGCATCACTGTGTGGTGAAGTCTTTGTTAGCCCTGTTTACCTAGYTGGGAACTTTCCCTTTGAGATAGGCAAAAACAATCTCAGCAGCACCAAGGTCTGCTTGTAAACATAACCTGCTTCAAAAACTTCCCTGCTGGAAAGGGAAAACTAACTTTCTTGATCCTGGAAGCAAGTTTTTATAACAGCTGTAGTGAGTTCACTTTGGTTGCCGCTGTGTTTTTCCTCCTGCCTGTGGCCTTCCTTGAAAACTGGTTCTGCCAAGTAAGTTCTGGGGAGCTGCATGCCAACCTGCGCTGTGTAAAGCAACAATAGCGTGTGTATACGTCTGGTATAACACTCCTTTAGCTAAGTCATTAAACCTGTCTGCACAGCAAGCAATATTGCTTTGCTGTTTAACAATTGCGGAGCCTCAAGTGTCCTAGAAAAACAAATATATTTTCTCCGACTGTAGCTTCCCAGCTTGTGGGCTTTATTTTTAGCAGGATAAGTACTGCAGATCTTGAACTTGCTGGGGCCCAGTGCAGTTTGTTGGTCTAGTTTTCTTGTGAGCTCATGGTGAATTCCCAAATCTGGACCTCTTTTSTGGTAACCCAGAGCTTCCCCAACGAGGCTGACTTTCTGTCTCCTTTTCTTGAAGGTGTACGAGGAGTTTGCCTGGAGTAACCCTCTCCATCCGGATATATTCCCAGGTTTGAGGAAGATGGAAGCGGAGGTGGTGAGGATTGCCTGCACGCTCTTCAACGGGGGCCCCAACTCCTGTGGTGCTGTGAGTAGCCTGCACTCAAGTGGCCCGTGCACATCTGTGCTCTTGCTTTATCTCTCTGATAAGGATTATGAGCTCTTCAGGCCAAGTCCTTTCCCTTCCCCTTTTTTTGTGGTGCATGGGACAGCGAGGCTGTCATCTGCTGACAAAGTGCTCGAGCTATGCGTGCTGGTTGGTCAATRACTTGCTGAGAAGTACTTGCTTTTGCAAGAAAAGCTCAGAAGGGACTTTACAGGGGTTGGGCATGAAGTGACTGTCCTGTGTAAATATGTTGGGGAGGGAGAAGGCTGGGAAAGGCAGAAGACTTTATAGGACAGTGATCCAAGAGCTGGCAGGKCGAGCTGGCCTTGAATGGGTTAACTCGAGGGCTGGGAGCTTGGTGGTGTTAAGCAGGGAGGTGCCAGAAGGACTTTTTAATAGGGGTAATTTGGGCCAAACTGCCACTGAACCGAAGGCTGAACTCAGCTGGTGTATGACTGGGAGTACAGGACGTGAYTCCTTGGATGGCCGGAGGTCGCACCCTCCAATTTGGAGACTGAATRTGCTTGACTGCCTCTGGAAAGTATTTAAACCTGTCCCTTGCTCCTGTTGCCTTGCAGTGCCGAGAGCACAGGCTGGGTCCTTTGCGGGGAGGGCAGAGGCTGCTGCAGCTCCTCTCAGCCCACAGCAGAGATGCGGACGGATACGGCGGTGGTGGCGTGACGCCTCTCACCCGCGCAGGGACCTTTGCCCGCTGGAGCCCGAGACGTGCGCGGGTTTTGTTGTGCAAAGCGCGTGTTGTAAAAGCGTCAGCCTCGGCTGARAGCCGCAAATCAAATTGCGTAAGAGGAGCAAAGCTGCTCCGCGGGGCAACGTGGTCACGGCCAGCACGGGAAGCTCGGCACGAGCTCTCTGGGCACTTCCACTCTTCCTCTGCTCCTTCGTCCTCCCTGCCCTGCGGAAGACCAGGCCGCGGAGCTGAAATGCCAGCAGGAGCTGAGCAAAGGGGGAAGTGGTCAGAGGGAGGGGTGAAAAGTTGGCGGGGCGGAAGCACCACGTTAATTGTAGCCCTGTAATTATCATGTCCAAACAAGCCTCCTCGCTGCACCTTCCTCCCACGCAGCCCTTCGGGCTCGCRGGTGACCAGGGGAGCCTGTGCGTGGTGGAGAGGCAGGGGAGGAGGTGTGGGGACTACGGCTGATACGACTCTCACATTGCTGCAAATCGGAACAAACCCGTGGGTTTTTCCCCCTCCTGAAATACTGAGAAGTGGTGTGTGTGTGTGTGTGTGTGTGTGTGTGTGTGTGTGTGTGTGTGTAGTCACCTCCCTGTCCCCTGGATTTGATGTCCCTGTCACTGCTTGTCCGACTCCTGTCCGTGTGTCCTGATGGTCCCTGAAGGCAGATACTCCTTGCTGGTGTTTCTGAAGAGTTTATCTGCAGCTGTGGTGGCTGGGGGAAAAAATGCAGTGTATTTTGCTAACTGAGGGTGTGTRACACTGGCAGGGAAGTGAAGGCAGCCTTGCCAAGGAAACCAGAGCTGGGCCCATAACTTGTATTGCTGTGTTAATGCTGGAGTTGCAGAGGGTTGGGGTTGCAGGGAGCAAGCAATGGGATGGATGAAGCGGCTTTAGGAGCACTTTCCTCACCCTGTGCTCGCTTCCCCTTTGCGAAACCAAAGAAACGAGGAGCAGGTGAAGGTGTTCGTCTGCCTCCTGCATGTGTTGCACACACAAGATCCTCAGGACACTGTTCCTGCTGCCATCTACTTACCATCCATAGCCTTATTCTTTTTCCCTTGCAACAGCTGTTGATTCCCAAAAGCAGGACAGGTTTGGCCGTGGTGAGAGTCACTTGCACGTGGCTCCGGCGTGGCTCGTGACGGGGACAAACGCGGCGTGTGGTTTCCCTCTAGCTGTGGTTCCTCATCTCTGTGCCTGCATTTGTCGCTCTCTTTGAGCTTCCATGGCGTTTTGCCRCTGGAGGGAGAGCAAACCCCAGCCTTGCGCTGGCCCCGCACCGCGTCCTGGCCACACTCCAGGGCTCGTCCACCCCCTGCTCCCCCGCCGAGGTGCCCCGGCGCCGAGCCGGCCGCGCCGCTTCCATGTGCTTGGCGCGAGCCGCCGGGGGAGCTGTGACACGCTCCTGCGCACCRAGCACGGGCTGCCCTGCCAGCCAGCCCTGCTGCAGCCTCTTCTCTGGCCTTTGGGTCGCTTCTTCCCCCCTTCACTTAATACGCCCCTTCAAACCGGACATTAGAAATGTGCCTTGGGCTGTTCAACGGTGCAAACCTGTTCGATCCCTGCAAATCTGTACATTTCTGCCATGTCTCCGGGCAGCATCTTTTATTGTCTTCCCTTCTCTTCCATAACATCCATGTAGGTGACTTCTTTTTTCCTTCTTGCTCCTTCCCCGCAGGTGACGTCTGGGGGCACCGAGAGCATCCTGATGGCCTGCAAGGCATACAGGGACCTGGCATACGAGAAGGGTATCAGACGCCCAGAAATGTACGTGATACCTCCCCTTGGGAGGCTCTTGCGGCTTAGTTTGAGCAGAGGTGACTGCCCAGACCCCAATTTTCCTTCATTTCGTAGCTCCTTAGCATCTCTTCAGTGTTGGAAGGACTGAGCACAGGCAGGGCACATATTACACTGCTAGTGTGGGATTTGCTCACGCTCGTGTGCGTCTTTTCCTAAGTGGTGCCTCAAATTTGCTTCTCTGGTTAACTGCTTCTGAGGGGAAAACAAGGGAGATGAAACACTGTGGTGTTCATCTGCTCAGTTCATGTGTCTTCTGCAGCTTGGCATCTGCTCCTTCCCTAGGTTGGTGCCGATGAGCGCCCACGCAGCCTTTGACAAGGCAGCGCACTACTTCGGGCTCAAGATGGTCCAAATCCCCCTGACCAAGAGCATGGAAGTGGATGTTCAGGTACTGCTTTTGGGGAGAGACAAGCGGCATGTAGGAGATATCAACTTAGCAGGCATCTGCCTTAGTGCTGGGTAGAAAGAGGAGATAAGCTATGCTTCCTGGAACTAAAGAAAAGCCATAAGAATAAATGTGCACTGCTGTCTATAAAGTCTTATAGTATGGATGGAAGTCATCTGTTTGTCCCATGTCTTTTGGGTGACCAGAATGTTGCAGTGTTTCCAAGCAGAGGAGTTAAATGACTCGGTCAATGTCTGCTGATGCTTGCAGCTTGCTACCTTGGTTTCTATGGGCTCTTTAGTATTGGCTTGTTTAAGAACTTTCTTTTTTTTTTTTTTTTTTGGGGGGGGGGACTTGGCAAGTGGAGTGTGGTCATCTTTCTTTTCTCGTTAAACCTTCAGGCCATGAGGAAAGCCATTTCAAAAAACACAGCCCTGCTGGTCTGCTCTGCTCCCCAATTCCCCCATGGCATTATGGACCCCATTGAAGATGTAGCCAAGGTAGGACACCCCATGGCTTCTGCGGGCTATAACACTAAAAGGGGTATATCCCACTGCAGTGGGAGGGTGGGGTAGGTTGTAAAACTTGACACCCTGCACGCAGGGTGGTGTGGACATGCCTTAAACTGCTGTGAGCTTCTTCTGAAGCTCTGTGTATGTATGTGTGAACTAGAGCCTAGCTCTGTAGCTCATTGCCATTCCTGGCTCYGTGTTACTCACCTGAACCTCCTGCTTGTCCCCAGCTGGCAGTGGAATACAAGATCCCCTTCCATGTGGATGCCTGTCTGGGTGGCTTCCTCATCGCCTTCATGGAGAAGGCCGGCTTCCCTCTGAAGCACCGCTTTGACTTCCGTGTGAAAGGTGTCACCAGCATTTCTGCCGACACCCACAAGGTGAGGAGGGCAGAGGAAGCTCTTGCAGTGCTTTTGTTTTGGGGGAGCAATTTCCCACCTCCCTGACTTGCTGCAGCCTTCAGGTGTAGGACATCTCAGGGACGGTCACACTATGTGCCATGTCATGGTGCCATGTGTTCCTCTTGCAGTACGGCTACGCTCCCAAGGGCTCCTCCGTGGTGCTCTACAGTGACAAGACATACAGGAGCTACCAGTACTTCGTGGCGCCCGACTGGCAGGGGGGCATCTACGCTTCCCCCACCATAGCGGGCTCGCGGCCGGGCGGCATCATTGCCGCGTGCTGGGCCACCCTGATGCACATCGGTGAATCTGGCTAYGTGGAGGCCACCAAAAGGATCATCACAACAACTCGCTACCTCGAATTGGAGTATGTCCGTGGCTCAGCTTTTGATCACACTCTTTAACCCCATTCTGGACCCCTCCTCCCAATCCTGTAACTCTGATCTGCTTTTTTTCCCTCTTCCCTGTTGTTTCAAGGCTGAGAAAAATTGACAGCATCTTCATTTTTGGGAAGCCTGAGGTATCTGTGCTCTCCATTGGCTCGGACACTTTTGACATTTATCGATTATCCAATTTTTTGTCGGCAAAAGGCTGGAACCTGAACATCCTACAGTTCCCACCGAGGTGAGTTTGTGGTCATGGTGGGAGCTGTTGTAGACCAGTGGAGTGACGTGTGTAGCCTGGATCTGCGAGGTGGTCCTCTTTGGACCATGTAGCTCTCCTTGTTTTCAGTGATCTCCAGCCTGAYGTAAACTGAGTGTTTGCCAAGGATTCTCCTTGTATGGCTGGCAGTTGTGTCCCTATGGATGCCCTTGGCTGGAGAGGAAGGGCAGGGAGATGAGGGYGAGCGTGGCGCGTGCTCGGCATGGTGGCTAACCTCTCTCTGCCTTCTCTCCGGCCTGTCCAGCATCCACCTTTGCATTACACAGCTGCACACGCGGCCGGGGGTCGCCGACCACTTCTTGAAAGACGTCAAACACGGTGTCGAGGAGATCATGAAGGACGTCCACGCCAAGACCACGGGCATGGTAAGGAGGGCATGTTTGGGCAGAGAGGGTTGCGTGGAGTGATGCGGGTTTCCTTGCGGTGGTAACGTGCTCTTTCCCTCTCCATAGGGAGCCATCTATGGCATGGCCCAGTCCATCCCGGACCGGAGCTTGGTAGCGGAGATTTCCCTGGCCTTCCTGGATGGTCTCTACAGCACAGATGCTCCTTGCAGCGACAAGCACATGAACGGCTCTCCTAGTCACCGCTGACCGTAGTGCTGCGATTGGGGCCTTTCCCGCTGGTGCCGGGGTGGCTCCAATGTTGTTTTGGGGGCAGAGATGGCAGTAGGTCTTAGTTCCCACAAGTGCAGGTCTGATGGCAGCTTGGAACCCTCCTTCCCCACCTGTGTCTGCTGAGAAATCTGTGTTATTTTCATGCCCAACTTCAGTTTTAGGGCTCTTCTCTTCCCCCTACCCGTTTGCAGCAGGATTATGGATGGTGAGCTGAATGGTCATTCCACGATTCCAAATTCCTCAGGTTTTCTACATGTTGCTTGGTTCCTCGCTGTTCTTCTCTTCAGACCTTATATTTGGCCATTGTCTGGCCAAGGGGTAGATTCTAGTCTGACGTTGTGTCCCAAAGCATCGACCTTCCCAGAAGGTAGAAAATAAATTGTATGTTTTGTTTTCTGAGTATTCCTCCAAGCTACTGCATTGAATGGGCTTAGCTAGGAGCCTTGTATCTGTGTGATGCAGAGTTCATGAACTGGCAAAAGAAAGGTGGTCAGGGAGTCTTTAAAAAATACCCCCCTCAAGAGATCTCAGATCTGTTGGAGGGAAGAGGGGAAAAAAAAAAGGGCAGAATCCTCTTCTGGAACCCCTTGAATAGCAGCAGGAATTGGAAGCAAGCGGGTGGTACAGGAGGAGGTACTGGATGGTACTCCAAGTCATAGGTACTTGGCATCTGCTTTGCTTTATTGCCTCTCCTAGAACACATGTGCTTGCCACCTGGATTGCTGCTGCATGGGTCCAAAGGGATGTGCAGAACAGCGATCCTGCTGTTCGTMATGTGAAGCTTTAGCACTGTCTCAATGCTGTAGTGGAGTCGGTTGAGCCCTGGTGTGTCCTGTGGCTGCGGACTTTGTACACAAACATACGGCGCCAAAGTTGACTTTTTTCCTAACATCTTTTAGTATGAAAAGGTGACTTTTTGTAATAGAAAGTAGCAATCGCTGCCTGCTCTTTGCACTGATTCTTTTAAGGCACGTTCTCAAGAGGGCATTCACCACTGTGCCTTGATGCTCCCCGGCTTTCTGTGGGGCTGGGGGGTTCAGACTGCAACGTTTGCAGTCCTTTCCTTATGGTACTAGGTTGAGAATAACCTCCAGGGCAGACTGGCCGCCAGTAAAGCACGCTTGCCCATAAGGTAGGATTATAGGCGTATTGAGCCAAGCCCCTTCACAATATTGCAGAGATGCTGGAAGGCAGGTGGTAGGAAGCACATTGTGAGGAATCTGAGCCTTGGGTGCTCACCCTTCCTATTTTTTCCTCCACTATTTTTGCTACGAGAGCTTCAACAGCACAACTTGTGAGGCCTTGAGGACCCACTGGAGTCCATGGAGCTGTGTGCTAGTGGTGGGTTCTTCCTCCAGGGCTTCCCTGTGCCTTCCTTCCCAGCTTCTGTGAGCCCTCTGCTGAGCCTTGTTGACTTGGCCCAGCTGGAACACAGGCTTGCACAACACTCATTCTGCATGGGAGGGTTGCTTAATCAAGGGCAGCCTTGGGCCCCATGCCTGCAGGGAGGAATATTTGCTTTTTAACAGGATTGTTCTTCAGTGCTGTTGTGTTTTTGGCCACCTCCCGTCTCATTCAATTGCTGGCAGTATTTTTGTCTCTTTTGAAAGCCCTTTTGAAAGCAGACGCTCTTGCTGGTGTTACCAGCTTGGGTGGCCAGCATTAGTGCTGGAGCTGATTATTCTGTTCACATCTTGCCAATGTGACTGGTGGTGTTGTGATTTGGAAAGGGATTCTGCAGCGTCTGGCTGCTGTGAGGGTTTTCGCTGAGATTTGGAAAACAAAGCAGGGAAATGGTCTCTTTCTGCTTTAAAAGAAGGGCTGGGGAGGGGAACAGTTGGAATAGGGATGGGGGAAACACYCTTCCCTTCCCTACTTGTGTCCTCCTCTGAGGAAGCAGATGGACTTGATGGATCAGTGCTCCATTTCACATTTCTGAATGTATTTGAAGATGTTTGCAAGTTGATGTACTCCATTCTGGGCTTTGCCTACTAGTAATACTTGCGGATTGTTTTATGTGCATTTGTTCTCTACTGTAAATGTCATCTTCCTGTGGTCAGGAGGAGACCCCTGTACTTCACTGTGTAGCTTTGTTCACCCTTGCCATCTCATGTAATCTGCATCTCCTTGACCATGCCACCTGGTCTTAGAAAAATGATGAGACTAAGAGGCTGTACAGTTGTTTAAAAGAAGAATTTTATGGACTGAATTATGCTCTGAACCTAGGGTGTTACTTTGGGCTTGGAGGGAAGGTCCTGGCTGCTAAATCCTGCAAGATTTCTGGCTGATTTGGCTTAGCAAGTGGCACGTTGGAGTCATGACCTGTACAAAGCACTCTCAAGRAAGCTGGGTGCTCCCGGGTACCGGACTGAAGAGTATCCAGTGAGATGGACCAAGAAGAGATGTCCTTCATGCCATGTTATTTCACCTGCACTGATGATTTGTGGGAAGGGGGTCGGCATTGACTTATTCTTAATGAACTTCTGGGGCAAGAGTTCACCTGATGGCAATAATCTGTATCGCTCTCGTTTGCCACTGTGTAAATCATGGGCTGAAATAACTGAAGAGATGGTGACAGAGAGCCTGGTTTGCATTAAAGAAATGGTACATTTAGCCATATAGACTTGTTGAACCTTTTTCTGTTTGAATGCCCATTGACTAGATGGGGACCCCTCACAGGCAGCCTGGTCTGTGCTTTGGAGAGTGGTGCTTTGAGTGCCCCTGCGTGTAATTGCTGAGTTACTGTGTGCCTGGAGTGAGGGTCTGGCAGCCCCAAATCCACCCAGAACCTCTGTGCGGAGGTTAGCCCACTGTAATCAGCTTCTGGCCAAACCTGAACTGCTTTCCTGCCTTCTGGTTGTCCTTTACCTGCTTTTTATTTATTTATTTTTTTTTGCCTTAAGTATGGTAGGTATGCTTGTTTAGCATGAACTTCTTGTGCTGCATCTGCTCTGGCTTTTTAGGCGGTGCTTTAATAATCTAATTTTCTTTCAGGCCCTGCTTCCTGCTGGAGAGAGGAGCCAAGCCAATGCCTGGCTTGGAAAAAACAACTGCCATAATTCTGAAAAAAAGGAGCRTCCAAATTGATGTCAGGTTAGCCAGGAACTTTATTGTAAACCCTGGTTCTCTCCCAAAAAGCCCGTTACCGTAGGGGTGAGCTCCCAGTGCCTGGTTTTAATACTGCTCGAGGAAGGTTACGGCAATAACCAAATTGCACATTGCATGGGACAAGGTCAGGCTTAGAGGGGTGCGAAGCAGTCGCCTCCCCTCTGCAGGAGAAGGGTCTACATCGGATGAAGCAAGGGATTGTGGTGGGATGCCAGATGGCCTGCACTATCCGGGTCCACCAGCAGCTTGGAGCGCAGGGTGAAGGCTCTGGGTGAGATGCAGGACGTCGTTTTGGGTTGATTTGGCCTTTGTGCTCCTCTCCGGTCAGGATAGAGATGCTGCGACCTGCTCTATGAAACTGGCCAAATTGATGTCTCGCTCGGACAAGCCACCGCATTCGTGGGTGCTCAAGGTGATGTGAACCTAAGGCAGACAGAGAGCAAGTGTTGCTGGCAGGAAGGATGGGAGTGGGTTCTCCCTGTGCAGTTCCCCCATGGCAGCTGTCACACCATGGAGCAGGTAGTGCTGTCACTTTCTGCAGGCTTGTTGATGGCATCTCAAGGTGGGAGCAATGCCTGGTGGCAGCTGGAGCCTGGTGGGGGCAATGACTCTTCCCTTATCTCACTGTGCCCCACTTCCATGCTCTGTACCCAAACTAGAGCTTCCCCAGCCCTTTCTGGTAGTGACTTAAGTGACCTGTTGGCAGCCTGCAAGTTGAGCTGGCCAGAAAGCCAGAAGGGAGGAGAGGACCTGTGTGCAGTAGTCACCAGCCACCTGCAATATGCAAAGGGAAGAGCATCTGAGAGGAAAAGCTGCTGCTGCTCTCAGGGCTTTTCCATCTCTGCTGAATGGGAGCTGCACCCTGAAGAGCCCCGATGGTCCCCACATCCACATTTCTCACCTTATTGTACACATTGAACCACTCGGGGTGGTGGTCCAGCTTCTCTGCCTGCAGAGCCACTCGGGTCATGAAGCCAAAGGCCTGTCCAGGGCATTAAGAAGAAAAGTTAGTCCTGAACTTTGTCTAGCTTATTCTTGGATTTTTTTTTTTTCAATCTGTTATCGGTGATTTCCCTCCTGGTATTGCTAGGAAGTAAAGCAGATGCAAGGCTAGGTTTTTGCTGCTTTTGGAGGATTTCTCAGGGTTTTCTTCTCAGAAGAGACTCCACTCAAACCAAATCATGTGCTGGTCGAGTCCTTCGGTGTCCCAGCAGTGTTACCTTGCTCAACCATCCCCCTCCAAGGGAAACAGAGCAGGATTTCTATGCCCGAGCCATGCAAAAGGGACCCCCCCACACACACATCATGCCATGTTTTCCTTGCCCCCACCRCTGAGCTTGGTGATGCTGCCCATACCCGGTTGAAGTCCTTGAAGTGGAACTCCTTGTAGATGGCGTCTCGCCCCTCCACCTCGTTCCAGCCCACAGCACGCAGGTTCGGCAGCAGCTGCTCCCTCTCCTCCGTGCTCAGGCGATGGGCTTTCCCTGCCTGCGGATGGGGTTGGAAAGGGGAGTGGAGGTAACGTGGAGCRAGTGCTCCGGTGATGGAGGCGTCCCATGGGTTATGTGGGCAAGCAGAGCCATTTGGAACATCATGGAGAGTGTATGTGCAAATACAAATACGTATTTATGTATAATGCATATGTTTATGTATATAATACATGTGTGTATCCAAGCYGCTTTGCTTTTGGAGTTTGCAGAGCCACCCGCCCCAATCAGAAGGGTTTTTATTTCCAGGGCAGTGGTGGCGGAAGGTCCCCAACGCGGGGCTCAGGTAGGCTGAACAACAAACACAGCTCGGTACAATAAAGCCGTGGCCCTTGCCCTGCTGCCACAGCCCAACGAGCTGCCTCCGGGTCCCTTGGCAACTGGGATAGCGTGGACAGGGCTGCTGGTGGCCCCCTTGTTGCCCACGGGCCCGGATCAAGCCCCACACTGATCCTCCTGCTCCATGAAAACACACAAAAACGTCACTATGGCTGTGCAATTACTGCTCTTCTTTCCGCCTTCCTGCAGCCCAGACGTTGGATCCTGGCGTTACCCATTAACCGCCTCTGCCCTCCCGCCGCCGCCTCCCCGCGCGCTCCGCGGCCGCTTACCATGGCGCGGGGACRGCGGCTCCCTCGCGGTGCTGTGCGCCGAGTGCGGTAGCAGTGGCAGCCGTGGCCGTTGTGGCCGCGGGAGGCGTGGTGAGGAGGCCGGGTCCACCCCCGGGCCACCCCGCGTCCCCCTGCGCTCCCGGCCGGCCCTGGCGTGAGGCCCTGGATGCAGGCCCCGTGTCCTAGGAGCCGGCTTGGAGGTAGCTCCTGTGACGGGACCGGTGCTCCTGCGTTGTGGCTGGTGGGGAATGTCTGCTTGGCCACCAGCTCCAGTGCCTGGGGAATTTGCTAGAGACCTGTTTTCAAAGCTCGTGTCTGGGTCTGGAGCAAGGGAACATGGAAGGGGCAGCCTGTGTGTGGAGAAACATGGCTTTGAGAAATATGGATTTGAAATCTTCTAGGCATGAGTTACACTGGGATAATGTTGCTCTTGGTGACTCCTGGGTTGTCCTTAAAACCAAGTACTATGAGATGACTAAGGTGTCCGATGGCTGTCAGCTACTGGTGTCACAAGTACAGTTCTCAGCATCCATGGGATTTTGCTCCATGGTCTGAGACACGCTGGTAAGATCGTACTAAGGCCACAGCTTGTGTTTTGCCCATGGGAAGGTAAGATATCAAAAATACCTTCTCCCTAGCCTTTGTGTTGTCCAYTTGGGAACAGCTCAATCATGAAACCAGGGAAGCTTGGAGAAAGCTGGGGCCTGCTGCAGGGRGGCCCTCCTATATTAACTTGTTTCCTTAATTGCCATCCTAATTTGAGGTTCGTTGCTGAACAGGTTGGATTTGGGCCCTGCGCATTAAGATGTGRCTGTTGTAACAACCACTTCTTGTCACTAGAGGTCAGGAAAAGGCTGAGAAACTGGAGAACTCCCTGAATTGCAGCCTCTTGTGTGCAGGGTGCAGAGCTGGGGCTTTCAGGAGCCCATCCACCATGAGAAGAGGTTGCTGGCATGATTAGCTCAGAGAAACATCTCCTCAAAGGTGTCCCCTGCTCCTGCTGGGACAAGATGCCTGGGTGCCATCTGAGCCACGTCTGTCCTCTCCTTGAAAGCTTGTTCTCCCAGTCACAGTTATGTGAAAACCATACAGCACCTGGGAACCAACGTGGTGGATCTTCGCAGTGAAGTTGTTTGATGTGGGAATAAGCAACCCCTTGAGCTGTTGTTCTACTGAGGGTGTGTGGCCAAACAGGGGAGATGGAAGAGGAAGGCTCCTTGATTTTTTTTTTTTTTCCCTGACTTCGCAAGTCTAAATTGCCCTAGTAGCTTTTGAACTTGCTTGGTGCATTTATGTGGTAGCATCTTATCATAACTCCCAAGGTGTATGCTCCTATAGGTACACAAGAGGTAGGGTGGCATATAGGGTGTCTCCTGAGCTGTGTTACTACAGGTCTTTGGCTGCTATTCATATTCTTAAGTCCTGGAAGTCCTTGATTTTATTTTCAGTTTTCTCATTTCAGATTTTGGGAGCATCAGTTTCAGTTCAACTCCTTTCTCTTGTTCTCACCTTGACTAGGCTTGAAGCCCCTGCTCACTTGAGGTATCTCCCAAGGAAGAAAGGAAGGAGGAAGAGGAGCTGATTTTTTATAAGGTAAAGGCAATGATGATAAGGGAATGGGGACAAGGAGATGCTGAGCTAGGGGGATGGCGATACTTGGGAGCAGAGACAGGTAGAGTATGGCCTGGGGAACAGGGTGAGATTACTGGAGAGAACGGTGCTCAAGTCTGTGATATTTGCTCTCTAGCAGAGCTGACCTGTGAATTAGATTTTCCACCTCTGTTTTTGGGAGTAGTTTTGTAGATTTTTTTTTCTTCCTCTGTCTCAGAGCTGAGAGCAGTAATGGAGTGATCCTTTTCTTTATAATTACTACTTTGTGTGGTAAACAGTCTGGTTGCTTGGTGTGCTTGTCCCCCACAGGTTGTGTGTGGGAGTTTGTTGGGGCRCCCAGCGGCTGCTTAGCTTCATTTCTATCTCTCCCAGAAGGGTGCTGGGTGAGCTGGATCAAGTGCATTACACTGATGGAAGCACCAGTGCAATATCCAGAGATGGGGCATGGTGCTGGAACTGGAGGATATATTGGCAAGTTTTCCGTATTTTTTTTTGCCCAAGTCTGATCAAACCATCGTGGAAGAGACTAGCACGTGAAATTCATGCATGGGGAGCGCTGTTTTTGTTTTCTTCTCTTCCCTGTTAACATTAGCACATCCTTTCTGGTGAGGTTACTCTTATTTATAGCATCACCTCTTTCTGCCTGGTCTAATGAGCGTGTGCTGCCTCTTGCAAACTGAATTCATCTGCTTTGCTCGTTTGCACCGTTAGTGGGAATGACCACTGGCCCGTGCTGTCTGCACTGTTTGTTTGAAGCAGAATAAAAATTAATGGGAAAACAGTGTACACATCACCCTAAGGAACTGTAATACCAGTGTGCTTCCCCCATTGCAGGTAGCAAACTAAGTAAGGCAGTAGCTTGCTTCAAAGCATGAGGATAAAGTGTTTTTTGGGCTGGTTGGGTAGGAAGGGAAGAGATGAAATACCACAAACTGGTACCGATTTGCAGCCCGGACTGCACATCTAGGCTAGAATTCAATGTGCTAGATGGAAAGGGAGCTGTGCTTTAATTCCAGCTGTCTCTGCTCTCTCCTGGACAACTCTGTCTGCAGAGGCATTTTGGGCTCCACTGGGGGAGGATGGTTAATGCTGGTGGTTTGCCTGGTTCTGTGGACTAGGGTGGCCCTTTTGCATGTACCAGGGGCTCCTGGATGGTCTGGGACCATCCAGGGGAGCCAAGTGAGCTCTTGTGGGGTGTTGCTTGGTGGCACTTGATGCCCTGTGTTGGTATCTCAGACCTCACGTCCCATGATGAGATAGCTGGGAGCAGCCTACAGTGTGAGCTACCTGCTGCGTTGTGGTGACTTGAGTGACAGGGTTGCAAACAGCAATGCTGGCGAGGAGGATTTTGCTGTGGAAAAAAGACTTGCTGGTTGCCCTGGAAGGAGGAACAGGGAGTCTTTCACTCTAGGAATCAGCTGTTATCAGAAGCCCTTGGTCATAACTGTGTTGGGTGAGCATGGCTCCGATGTGGACTTTTCCCAGATTTCTGCTTGAGGCTGGTGTGGACTGGAAYTTAAGGCTCCTGTTTCTAGTGGCGGCACTTAGTTTTCATTGAATGATTTTGTGAAATACTTTCCACAGGGGCTACAAACTGAAAAAGAACAGACCTTGTAGAGCTGAGGTGGTTCTGGGTCATGTTTTGGATGCAATTCACTGGTGGGAAATAAACAGCCGTCAGGAATGATTTTGGTGCAAGGCTTTCCCTTTCTTTGCATTACCATCCCTGATGACATTTAAGGGGCAACCTGAGATCTGCTCTGTGTCTAGCCTAAGAGGAAGAAATAGTTTACTGCTTTCTATTCTTTTATTCATTTTCATTTGCACTGCTGCAGGATTTAGCTCTGCTTTAGAGTGCAGAAAGTCTTTTATAGAACTGCAGAGCGGGTGTTTCAGAGCTTGGAGGAAACTTCAACAACCCAGAAAGCAGGCAAGGACCTTTCTCCTCTTTGACTTGTGCCTGTGTCTTCCCTGGCAGTAAAGATGGTGCAAAGGGGCTGTCTTTATTTTCCAAATCACTATAGCTGATGATTAAGTCTGCCGTGTCAACAAAAAGCATTAAGACCTCTGCTTTCTGCTGCTGCAGAACAACAATTTGTGGCTGAGGCATTACCGGGGCATTAGACACTGAAATTATGACCACTCTGTCAGATTGGCTGGATAATTTTTACTCCCAAGCCTTCCACCAAGATGATTTTCAGTGCTTGCAAATTAATCTTACTCTGTGGAGCTGTCAAGGTATCCGAGCTGTGTCAGTATTTGCTCTAACAAATGCGTGTGTATATGTGATACAGCTACTTCATCATAATTCCCTGTACCTCTCCAGGCAGCAAGCTTATCTTAAGTGCAACTCTCCTTTCCCGGGGTCAGTTTTGCTAATTCTTTTCTCCCCATTTGTTTTATGGTAATATAGAAGAGCCTTTTTTTTTTTTTTTTTTTTTTTTTTTTGTGCATGGGGAGATTTCCTGCTCTGAGCAGCTTAAGAGGGGGAAGTCTTATTTATGCAGGTAGGAAACAGAAGGAAACGGAGAACCTGGCTCCTCAGGGGCGTTTGAGCACCCATTTTTCAGTGAAAGCTCCTCCCTGAGCACTCCTGGGCCCCATAGCAGCTCATCCTGGGTGCATCCACCCTGGCAAGAGGTGGAGATGCCGAGGGACCCTTGGGGAGGAGTTGCTGCCTTTGCCACCTGCAATGCAGGTGCCTATGGTTACATCAATGCCTGGAGCCTATGGTTGCATCACCTTCCGTCCAGACATGCTTCCTGACCAAGTGGACCTCTCATTAGTCACTCTCCTTCTGACTCTGCTAATTAATCAGTGCTCCCCCGACAGCTCTTGACCATTAAATAACTTTCATCAGTATCCAGGGCCCAACTGCGTGGATGGACCCATCTACCTTCATTAGCACTTGGATTTTGATGCTAGGAAGAGCAGCCCTGAGTGACAGTAAAAGGACAGTTTCTTGTCTAGCCCCTCTGTCATCTTGGTGAAAACTGACCTTTCCAGTCTCTTTTTATTCCTTGTTGCACATGGGTTGAAGAGATGGGCAGGAACTTCAGCTCCCCTCCTTGTCCCAAGGCATTATCCTTAGTGGGGGAAAAATAAAAGGCAGGATCCTCTTTAAAAGCCGATAGATAACCTATAAGTATGCTCATTTTGTAAATAATCTGAGAATGCCTCTCAGGTCAAGAAGGAAGAAAGTGAAGATCAATACTTATCGATGTCTGAATTACCTTCCCCTGTGCTTAAGTAACTTAGCCAGCTGTGTAGCTGCAGGCCCCCCAAGGCAGCTCTATGCTGGCCAAAATCTTCTGCACAGCCTCAAACCAGGAAGGCTTTGGGCTGCTTGCAAGACCTTGATAACCTCTTTGCCTCTGACCTTGCTGAACACCTGGTGTTTTCCTGGGAACGGCGACAAGCCATTGCTG